TATTATTATTATTATTATTGTTGTTGTTGTTGTTGTTGTTATCATTATTGTTATTGCTGTTGTTTTCATTATTGTTATCATTATTATCATTATTGCTACTATTACTTTTATTATTGTTTTTAGCATCCAAATTATCGTTTAAAAGGCAGAGTAGGTGTGAGAGTCTTGACTGATTTTCGGGGAAAAAGGATAAATAAAAAGTGTGAAAAATTAGGTTTTTTGAATAACTGGCTCAGCGTTTCGCCACGTAGGCTTCTACGGGAGCCTCGTATCTTTATTATAATTTATTACGATTGTTGTAGTTGATTTTAGTCAGAGTTTTACAGCACTTGCAACACAATAAGGTCCTATAAGTAGGCTATCGAAGATTAGAGGTACTACAAGAGAGTAACAAACATAAAAAAGAAGGAGGAGAGATCAGGACGACAGATGTTTGATTGGAGAGGAGTAGACGAAACCAGAGCACACGCCAACCACTCACTACTACAATTGTTTTGGAGGAATGACTTTTGAAAAGAGAGTATTATGAATGCCTAATAGTGGGGAACAGTTTATACGCTCTTATACTATTCGTTTTTACTGAGCGTCTTGGCCATTGTACTATCTCTGAGCGTCTAAGGAACACTGGGAACTGGAGAGAAGATATTCCACAAACAATGCAATGCTGCCAATCAATTCTACTTTTGGCTGGAGAACATTTACGGGCTGTTAGCCAACATTACAACGAGGCCGCACTCAACTCTCGTTGGAGAGAGAATCGACAATTAAGTATTGCTTCACGGTCAGATGCTCCGATCAGTGCTTGCAGCAACAACTGTTTTCCCACTCTTGAGTGCCACTGGAGGCGGCTAGTTGTCGAGGCAGAGTTTGTGGCTGGAAACACTCTCACAATCTTACAATCTCACAGTTTCCCAATCTCCCAATCTCCTAATCTCCCAATCTCCCAATCTCCCAATATCACAGTCTCGCAATCTCAAAATCTCACCATCTGACAACCTCACCATCTCGCCATCTCTCAAACTCCTGATAAAACAGTTTAGGTTAATGAATAAAGAGTGAGAGAAAACCCCCTCACGTTCTTTGCCCCCCCCTCTGGGCTCCTGACTCTTTCTGCAGCCTTTCTACTGCTTCTCCTTGGCCCATTCTTACTGCTGTCTTTCAGCATACCCCTGATCTTATGGTAGGAAAGATCTACACCTAGCCTTCTGGACAAGGGTGAACAATATCGAAGATCCCGTTTGCAAGTTGTGCAGGTTAAAGATCCCTTGGTGTGGCCCAAAAAACGATAAGAGTAGGCTTCGGCCGTAATCTGGACAAAATTCAGTATGTCCTACCAACTGAAAATGTTTAATGTGTCCCGCGCTCTCATATTTCCGTATGCCGTTGTGCGCGCCGTAAAACACACAAAAAAAGGAGACGAAAAAATAAAGTGTACTCACTAGGAGCCTTGAGGACATATCTGACAATTGCCACTGTCGAAGTAGTAGCCTGCAGCACACGCCGAAGCACAGTCTGTGTTGCAATTACATGTTCCTGGAGACAGAAAAAAAAATAATTTCGTTTTAGACCAATTTTGATAATCTTTTGGTATACAAGGCAAACCCTGTTGAACAAAGTAAAAAGTAGAAAAATACAATACTATGGTCACTTTAAAACGTTACGAGACCATTGTGAAAGAGGTGCTTGAGGGAAGGATGTTGGGGCAGGAAAGCCAGAGGAAGGCAAAGAATAACATGGAAGGATAACATAAGGACATGGACTGGCCTGGATATGGCAGAATGTGCAACGTCAGCTCGCGACTGTGAAAGATGGAAGGACATTACACGTCAACCTCTGAGTCAGAGATGACACCTCCAGGTACCAAGATACGGTATCTTTAGAAATAGTCGAGATGTCTATACTAACAACCATCTCCAGTAATACTGTGCAAGGTTGTAGAGTCTTTAAAACTTTTCTAAAAAGCTTATTTAAGAAACAGTTTGAGACCAAGGACCACAATCAAAGAACATTGGAATGCTGCCAACAGAGTTGTTAGTGCCCCAATAATAATAATATTGTGAGTGTTTTAAAGGCTGTGTAGAGAAATGATATTCTCTTACAAGGTGTTTTCTGCATAACATGTAAACACTCTAATGCAGATGTAAAGCGTATCTGTTTTTATTTAAGCATCCAGAAGTAATCATTTCTGTGTCCGGTGGAAAGAAAAAGCTATCGAAAACATTAATCATAGCAATATTATACGTATGACGAATATTTTTTGTAATGCTATCTAATTTGAAATAGATCTACACTGTTTTGTCGTCCATACATTATAGACTTGTATTTACCCTTCTTTATAGGCTTCAACTTACTCTTGTTCAAACGATTTGGAGGCAGTTTTACGAAGACACAGACAGGCTGGAATTTAATTAAACCACACGAGAACAAAGGATTAAAGTGCCTTCTGAATAACGAGGCAGGCTCATTTCACAGAGCCAGGGTTTAAATCACTCTCAGCGAGAAAAGCAATTTCACCACTAGAGACTATGATAACGTCTTCAGCTAAACGTTCCAATTTTAGTCTCTGCGTCCCTTTATATATATCTCCTGTCTGTCTATCAGTCTGTCTGTTTCTCTCCCTATCTCTCTTGCTCTCTCTCTAAATTGCTCTCTTTTTTGCTCCTCTCTTTTCTCTATCTTGCCCCCCCCCTCTCTCTCTCTCTCTCTCTCTTTCTCTCCCTCTCTCTCTCTTTCATCTCGTTTCTCTCTTTCTCTGTTCCTCTGTATCTTTCTGTTTCTCAAGCAGACTATACCCTCCTCCTCCTCTTCGTCCTCTTCATCATCATCATCATCATCATCACCATCATCATCATCATCACCATCAAACTACTACTTAACAACAATAGCAACAACAACTACTACTACTACTACTACTACTACTACTACTACTACTACTACTACTACTACTACTACTACTACTACTACTACTACTACTACTACTACTACTAC